TCTTGTTGTAGCCGGGACAGTTCCCAAGAGAAGACCTTTTCATGCAGATCGGATACGAGCATCATTGTAGCCGGAGGAGGATTACGACTTCGCCATTCCAGCATACTTTGGTACATGTTTGCGCATGTGCTTTCTGTTTCACGAGTTAAAGGGAAAGCATTTACAACCAGAAATAGCCGGAATTGGTGTGTATGAGAGTACAATCCAGAGAGGATTACAAGCTCGACTAACCGGAAATGGTATGTACAAGGGAGACTCCAGTGGAAGAAAGTCCTCGCAGGAGGTGATAAGGGGTTCGCTTTTGGTCGCCATAGGCAGTGATGGAGACAGGACCACAGTAACCTAGCTTCGTGAACGCCGCTTCTAGACTCGGACGGACCCGACGAGCGTCATAACCCTCCGGAATCGGACAGTCGTTCAGGTCCCACCACACCGCTATCTTAGCTGTCGCGTATTCAGGCTCCGCCGCCGCCGCATCGAACCTTGTCGCCATCCTTTCTAAACCTAAATCAGTTCCGCCTCCCTCTTTTACCTTTTGATATATATACACGGCATGCCAAACTAATGGGCCTGGGCCTAGATCAAGGCTTTCGAAATCGGTTTTTACTTATATTTTGGTCGGTCTTTCTTTTAATTGGGTCCCAGTCCCACAACATTCGCGTATTCGGGTCGGTTTTTATTGGGTCTATGTTTTTCCAAGTTATAAGATTTTTCGATCCATCTAAAATTTTTGAATCACTTTTTTCATAAATATGCTGCCGTTCTCATCCACCCAATTTTTGAATCACCTTTTTCAGAAATATGCTGCCGTCAAACTATAATATTACATTGATGGATGGGCTAACTCTCGATTAGTCCATCCATGTACAAATTATAGGGCTAAAACATAATCGGATTGATATTATGGGCTCGATCGTTGATTGTCTTCGGCCATTTGAATCCTTGAATTTCCCTTCGGTCTTTTTGACGTGCTTTTAAGCTTCACAATAGCGTATAGAAAATACATTCGGTTCAACTTGCGAATCCAGTTTGGTATATTGAATAAGAATAAACAACAACATTATACAAGTGATGAGACCATAACAATGTAAGAAAAAAGGTTGAGAGAAATTAGTGGAAAATGGTTAGACAACTTCTCTTTATCCTCCCTAACATTCTCTCGACTAATACTTTGATGTTTTTTTTTTTTTTGGCTAAGAATGTAATTATTTCATAGAAATGAAAATTGTTCTGGTTTACAAAATTCATTATAAACCTAGATTATGATCCCATGACAAAAAAAGATAAAAACATGGAACCATATTACACTAAAGTTTTCAGTCCGCTGTACTCGACACAAGCACAAAGGCTAATGGAATTCGACGAAGTGATGACGATGATTATTGTTCCTCCCAAGTATGCAAGCCGAGATGGAGGAGCACAAGCAACCGAAGGATCGAAAAAGGCAAAACCCGATGCACTAAAGCCTCTCCGCGGAAGTTCAAAGATGAGTCGTCAACGGCTGCGAACCCAAGCCCGCATTCACAAGCTCCCCTCGCGACTTGTGAGATCGACCCGAGTCACAAAACCATGAGCTAATACATATAAGAAACTTCCCTGACCAAATAAGAAGCCATTGCAAGCTCACCCTACCTCGCACACTGACGCAGCCTAGTACAGAGCTAAATACAGCCGACACAACACAACCATGACATCAACCTGGCCTTACTAACACCTCTAGATCACCTAGCAACCTCAGCCAAACCAATCCCGCCCATACTAACAACACTACAAAACCGCATCCTCAGGAAGACACAACAAACACCAGACCTAGACCTATCCAAACCTGCACGATAAAAGGAGAAGAAGTACCAAGGATCCGCTAACAGCCACCACCGGTGGCATGACGAGTCCAACACTGCAACACCAAAAGGACCGGTAAACAAACCGAAGAACTTACAAAAGCGAAAGCCTCACACCCAAGACGCCACAACGACCACTCTCAAGAGGATAATGACGCTGTAAAGAGAAGTGACCGAATCAACGGGAGCCAACCAGTCAAATAAAACTAATTCGTACATGACGAAGAGAGCAAGGCTCCAATAGCCTACGACGGAGCGAAGCCACCACTAGAGCGATGAAGCCGAGATGCCAAAACCACCATAACTCTCATCTCGCGGACGGAGAAGTAAACAACGGACTTCAGGTGATAACAGAGGCGGAGATCTTCTGGGAC